GGACGAAAACAACCAAGTCGAATTAAGTCAGAAAAAAGAAAGTGTGCATTATAATCGAAAAAATGCGACTATTGTATAAATCTTTAAAATATTGATGTTAAGTCTGTCTTATAATATCACGACAACTTTCGTAAGTCGAGTTATCAGATAAGAATAAAATACAATACTAATATAGTCCTAACGTTGAAAAAATTCGCTTATTTTTGCTCGCATCGAGTTTTACTTAGTAAAAATAGCTAAAAAGTTCGCAAAATACGTACGGAAATACGGTATTACAGCACGACCTGTATTGGACAACCACCTGTCTAAAAGACCACTTTTTAAGGAACCGTGGGTGGTCGCCATAGACAAGTTTTATTGTATTTAATTATGTCTACGTGTAACAAATGAACTTTCAAGAAGTGTAAAAAATGTAATTACGATTAGAAAAAATAGCTGAAAAATTTAACTCTTTTAACATTTTTTCTTGAATTATAAAGAATTTGGAAAATTACACGAACGTAAGAGTTTAGTAATAAATAATAAATAAATAAACGTTATAAAATACAAGTTAGTTATCAATTTGCGTTAACCAATTTGTCAAATATTAAGAGAATAACGAGAAAAGTTTTCTTTGCTTACCATTGCTACCAATGTAGAAAAGTAACATGCTTAACAACAAGAATACTTTGATACACTTAAAATTCATTTGTTTCTTTGTTAATTCGCTGAATATGAGAAAAAATAAAAAAAATTTTAGACCAGATATTGCACTTGAAAATTCTTGCAGTTACAATTTCGTGAAGTCTTAATAAAGTGTTGAGAGATAATACTGCACATATGGAATAATAGCGTGAAAGTAGAAACGAAGTTACATAAATATTGCATTAAAAAACTTAAACTAAGTACGAATACAAACCAACTCACTTCCTAAGATTAAAATCGAACGAAGAGTTATTTAAATACTGTAAAAAAACAATATCAAAGTAAACTCGAATAACAAAAACAGTTAAAGTTGTCTTTCGAATTTAATTTATGTAATGGAAATTTGATCTATTAGGACTTTAGAGAATACACGCAATAATTTTTTCTGCTTACTTTATAATATTCACCCATTAAACTTTTTCAATTTTAATTATCAAAACAATTTTTATTACTTTTCTGAATTTTATATTTAACAGAGGAAAAGTATTAGTCAAAAAAGAGCATCACTACAAGATTACATGTTTGAATACAGCACAACTTAAATGGTAGAGAAATGCAGAATCATGGGATTCTTCAAAATGTATCGATTTTAGTGTATGTTGGTAGATATGTTTGTTAATCTTCTTTGAAACGTAATATCTCCTGTGCTGTTCATGGATAGTTTATAAAATTTTTCACAGAGGTTTGTGTATTAGAGAAATTGAGGGTTTTAAATTTTGAAAGTCAACAGTTGAGAGAGTAGGAAGTTAAAGGGGCTCGTGTTTACTTTATGTAAGATTTGAATTAATAACGATTTTTCTTGTAAATAGCATATAAAACTTTTTACAACACCCATTCCTACATTCAAAATTATGATTTTGGCTATTTTATAATAGTTAAAAATATGGAAATTTATAAAATAAAATATGATAACAAATAGTGCAACCACATGTCGCCACCTAAAGTTTCCAGGATAGTTAAGCAACTCGTTTCTAGATTTTTGTTAATTGTCGAACTGCCACAATATTAACTACGTGCAAAGCATGTGATTGTAGAAATTATTTACTATATTAAATACAGGATGATTTGTTTGAAGAGAACTACTTAGGAGATGTCTAACAATAAACTGATTATATAAAATATAAATTTTGCCATTATGATAAGGAAAGATGGTAGTTTAATTGAGAAATTTCGGTACATGAAAAATCCGAAATTGTTTCTACGTTGTGCTTTTAAGAAAGATACACTATGGGTTTCATCTGAAATAAACTTAATTTTACACTTATTTTATTTTCACATGACATCAATGTTAAAATATAATCAAATTTTCCAATACATTTGCAATATTGAAAATCACAAATTTAACAAAACAATCGATTTATATTAATGTTCTATTAAAAACTGACGAATACACACCAATTCAATTTCAATGATTAAAATCATACTGGAGACAGTTTTTTTTTATTTCGTATTTTATAAAACTTAAAAAGAAACAATAACAGAAATACATTCGAAGGACGGAAAAACAATAATGATTTAAAGTAAACTTATATAACTATTATAGTGTTGTGATTCGTGCAATCATGCAATATTTTTTATTTTCTATTCTAAGGAATATAAATTATAATAAACGATTTTACAGTTCGCAACATTGTTTTTTTTTTAAAATAAACATAAGTGAAAAACAGAACCTCACTCATCGAAGAAAAAGCACACTAAGGCTGTTATCTCCATATGAACAAGGGGAGAGAATAGAATAGAACAGAACCGAGAAATAACTGAAAATTAAAAAAAATTGTTAAAAATAAATTTTTTTTGATTTAGTTTTCGTCGTTTTTATTTTCGTCATAAGTGCGAGAAACATCAGACAACTAGTCACATAAATAAAAAATACATTTACCACAGTTAGAACATATTCTCCTATGTTAAGGCATAAATATTTTTTACATTTAAAATACTTTACACTATTTTTTTTTGTTTACTTACACATGAGATACCTTTATTGTCTTAAAAATGAATTTTTCGAACAGGTTTCCTTTTCTCAGAACTATGCGTTGAATTCTCGAGATTTATGATGTCCAGAATCTTCATTTGTAGAATGAGTGAAAAATTTTTAATTGCTGGTGTTCATCCAAAGTTTCACCAAAGTGAAACCCGTGTTGTAGAGGAACGAGAAAATTAACGTTTGTTTCCCTACCAGGCTAATTTGTTCTAGGGTAAACTTGCCTAATTCGTACCACTTCAGGAAAAACCATCATATTATCGAAATTAATAAACATAAATTATTTTTTATTTTAAGTAACTTTTATTTGGGAAATATTTTATCACTACCATAATCAAATTTAGCATAAATCTTATAAACTTCTGAGAAATAAACAATTTAAAAAAACACTAAAAAAGTACGATTTAGGAACATTCGTCTTAAATCGTACCGATATATTCTTAAATCGTACTTTGAGATCCTATCATTGGTTTGCAGTCTTAAGAATAAAAATCTTTATCAATAATGTACGTGTGTATCAATACGTGTGTATATTAACTCTTAGCAAATTCGGCAGCTGGTCTTTGCCAATTTTTGGCAGTCATCGCAGTTGTAATCCATTGTCTTTTTATTGGTTCCTGCGCGAAGTTCATGTACCCATATCTCACATTGTGTGCATTTGATCATACTTTCTTTTACGTCTTCTTGGCATAATTTACAGTACCAACTGTTATTTTCATCTTCCTGTTTTTTTTAATTCTCTTTTTGTGATATTTTAGTAGTTTTGCTTTTCTTCGCACCAAGATTCTTTCATACGTTTTTCTTCTTGCAATTCCAAGAATACCACGTAGTGGAGATATTATTTCAAATGTCGCTCGAACTGTCTCTGTATTAGAAATGTTTACTTTCATACCTAAAGAACATTCCTTCGCTTTCTCTTCCAGACACTGATCTTGCTGTTTTTCCGAAGGGTGAGTTGTCGGTACCTCAGGAAGTTGTGGGTACTCAACTTCTTCAGTCTGTTCTCAGTAGTCTGATTGGATTGTGCCACACACGTTAAAGTATCTGTTTGTTCTTGCTGCCTTTCAGTTGCCAGATTCTGGGAGACTTCCGCCGTTTCACTTAGATTAGCATCTTCGTCAAGAACGACATATTCCTCATCCCCGATCTTAAAGCGATTGCGAGGCCACAATCCGCAAGATTCGAAGTCATGCATGCCTGTGTCCATACAAACGGCTCGAAGATATGCTTTATTAAGGAACCAGGATGGTTTGCATCCACGATGCGCAAGCAGCACTAAAATTCAGTTTTAGTGATTTAAAAAATGACCTATCTAGTCTATTCATTGATGTATATTCAGTCCTTGTAACTATCGTCTAAATGTCAATTACGGTACATTATATACACTACAAACTTCGTTAAATTATAAGGTCTCGTCATTATATTTTTTAATCGCTTCTTTCATATTTTCTTTACTTCAAGAATTATATTTTCTTTTTGACACGTTGTTCTAAAATTAAAGACGATTAAGTTTTAATTTGTTTTGAACTTTTGCGGTTATTTTTTAAATCAGAAACTTAGAAAAAAAATAAGTTTACGAATCGGTAATAGCTTATTGTGACATTCATCTAAAATGGTGTTCCTAAATCGTACCAGTACGTTTTAAGAACATGCCTTGAGTACGAAATAGGCGCAAGAGTCGAACAAACTTTACATTAGTCGCCAAAAAATTTGACAACAGATACGCGTGTTTCATCACTTCAGATATAATCACAAAAATACGCACTAATACATCACAGATAGTTAAAAAACTTACACACGATTCAATTTGAAGAAATTCCGTATGAAATGTGCAAAAATATTACAGAAAAAGTTGAAAAAAACTTTCTTTTTTAATATTTTTGTCGGGAGAAGAGTAACAGCGTGTTGTCTGTCAGATGGTAATATGAGCGATTGTTATTTACTTCTTTTGCTACTAGAGACACTAATAGCTATTACGGGAGTGAAGATATAAGCGACCGATTGTTATTTACTTCTTTTGCTACTAGAGACACTAATAGCTATTACGGGAGTGAAGATATAAGCGAAGTACGAATTAGGCGCAAGTACGAATTAGGCAAGTTTCCCCTATGTGTCAATAATACTGGTATTTATTCCGGTGTTATTGAGCATACCATAAAATACAGCAAGTGGCATGTCAGTAACTGAATATGTTACATACAGTGAATTGATTACTAGTGGTTGGAAAATTAGTTGCAGGCTTCGTAATGCACAAACATTATTGATATACCATTCAGTTGGAAAATTAAAGTTTTCATCTTTGTCCATGTCATTCTAAACACTTCCATTACTCAATCTATCTCCACTGATGTTCTTCACCATCAGAGTCTTCAACAATATCATTATCACTAATAACCTGAATCAATATTTTTAAAATATTATTTTATTTTTTATTTAACATATTCAAAATATCGTTTTGAATTACGTTTCTCATTATTTCAAAGTTAATTATGATAATAATTGAAAATCATCACATATAGAAGACCATATTTCTATTATAAGTGAAATTTTACCCCATTCATAACAAATACAAATTGTATTGAAGAATGGACTAGAAAATTGGTAGATATATAGCTAAAGAAACATACGAAGTTTGTAGTATAAAAAAGATATATGATAATCAAAATACAGATTATTGTGGTATAAGAAACTAAACAAAAAATTTCGTTTAAATATAAATACAAGATAATTTACATCAGCAAAATAAATGTAATAAGCACAAACCAATTAGGAAACGATTCAAAATAAGTAAAACTTACTAGTCACATTGACAATCAGTGGGAACTGATTTGATTAAGAGTGGAATGATTCAGTCATACAATGACCAAACAAATGTTTTAACTGTAATTCTTGTACTTAGTAAATATATTTTGGCTGTTCCAATTAAAAAGCGAACACGTGGAAAAGTATCCAAAGTGTCTACTACAAAATTGAAAAAAAGAAAACGAAACATATATTGACAGGTAATGAAACTGAGTTAATCAATAGAAACATAATAGAGCACCTCAGCGATTTCCATATGTTTAGTTTCAGTATCGGTCTTGACAAAAGAAAATTCGGTGAACGAATCTGCTTCAGCCAACGTACCAGAGCATCTTCGACATCTTTGTACGGCGACTTTCTCTGGGATTTTCGAGACAGCCACGACTAAGACCGAAGATAAAGATTCTTAACCATTACATTACCGTTCGCCCTGCCCCTCTGTTTACGTGTATTTTCTAAAAAGGCCAAGGGCAGTATAGGTCAGACAAGGTCAGACAGCTTATATTATTTTAAAAATTCACCAAAAATCAATTTATCGTTATATTCATATGAAAAAAATTACGTTACATTTATTAATATCTGTGGTTATAAATGCCATATTTTTAAAAACATTTAAATATAAACTTCAATAGAAAAAAATTAAAATATATTAGACCTGACATTTATCTGTGAGAATTTGCAACATTTCTTTTAAAATTCAAATACTTCATTTAAGTAGTTTGTTGTTGGCAGTAAGCCAGAACGACTTGAAATATTGTTCTGTACAATTCTATATAGCATTTATGAATGTACGATTTTTAGTTTTAAAATTATCACAGATTATAATATAACCTTTGTTTGGAATCAAACCTTTATTTTGCTATCGAGAATATTAGGAAATAATATTCTTTATTCATTTTATTTTGAACAATAATATAAATTATTGTGATAAATATATAAACCAGTAGTAATACATTTATGATGCGTTAATATTTTTAATTAAATTAAAAAATAAAAAATAAAAAAATATATAATATATTAGAATTGAAAGTCACAATTTAAATATTTATTATACATTAACTTATAACTGAATAAACTTATTATAGCATGAATGAACGTATTTTAGTAATATTATTACGTAAATATGCTATAAAATAAATGAATAAATATATAAATTAAGAAATAAAATTGCTAAAAAAATTTATGAGTTGACAAAACACCACCTGGACAAAAATATGTGAAGCAGATGGTAGACCACACACTACTGTAAGTGGTGGCATCTGTTGCCAATAATTTTCATTAAAATCGATTTTTAGCAGGGTAACGACTAATCGATACTCTGGTCCATTGTTATAAAAAGGGGGGAACGACACTTTGCGACCCCAGTCATATAAATTAATTTCCTCTTCTTTCTTCAGAATTCCCACCAATGTTGTTTTTCAAAGGTTTTCATGTTTTGCAAACAGAGCCATAACTAGGATTTTGGATGCCTATGGCCAAGAATAAAAATGGTGCCTTTTTAATTTTTATTATTAAAAAAATAATTTTATTTTAAAAATTCTATTGTAAATTATTCTATTGTAAAAAAAATTATCGAATGACATTTAAATAATATATAAATATAAATATAAAAAATTTTTTGTGTTATTAATTAAATAATTTCAAATACATATTATTTCAAATCCTTTTCGTTGATGCCTTTATTAAATCGGTACGTATGGCAGAAGCCACATTGGCCATACCCTAATTTCGGCACTATTTGCAAATTCGGCTTGCAAAGTTGTATTACATTCAAGTTTAGATAAAAGTTCCTATTTTTCCTTCAGTGTATCTATTGTTAGGTTTTAGAAACTTATTTCTAACAGAATTATAAAACACTTGCTACAAATAACGCATGAATGAAAGGTGAGAAAATACAAAATCGGATTCTGCTGTAACTTTAAGCTGTGTGGTGTGATCTTATTTTTTTCAGGAGGGGAGTCAACTTATCAGACATCTAAACGAGTGAAGGACAAAAAACAGTATGTTGATTTATCCAGTGATGAAGAGTTAAACGATGTTGAGTAAACTAGATTTTTTTAACGTTAATGCCTATGTACTGTCTGTCGGCCGGGACTACAGAAAACTGACTACTTAACCGATGGTGTCTAGTTATACATATGACAACTAATGTGGTATGAACTCAGTACTTGCAGCAGAAACAAAATTTAGTGCCAGTGATAAATAATCAGAAAGATACATTGCATGTACTGTACTATACAAAGCAGTACTGTATTTTTCTAATGGCAGTTTTGTGGTTTTTTTCAACTTTTTTTTATTTGTCATTTTGGATAACTCTACATATTTCAACTTCCCCTTCAGGTATCGACTTATGTCGATTCGACAATAGTTGTCAACTATAGTATATATACAGTAGAGCGTCGATTTTCCGAAAGTCAATCATCCGAAAGAATTCCAGTCGGCAAATCTAAATTTTCGCCAGTGCTGTGGCGCTTCAATCTTTGGCTATGTCTTGGGTACTGAAATATTTTACGTTTTTTATACTAAATTAACATCTGAAGTATAATTTTTTATTGTTTTTATATTTTTCAATATATTTATTTTGTTTGTACAAAATAAAAAAATAATTTTTAACGATAGGCTTAAATAGGCTTTGTTAGGCTTAATATCGACGAAAATTCGACGCGAAGCGACACGTAACAGAGAAAAATTTCGAAATCGGATACGTTAAACTATTTTTTCTAACGTAAATCAGTTATCCGAAATATCAGTTATCCGAACAACCCCAGTCCCCAATTGATTCGGAAAATCTACGCTCTACTGTAGTTTGTATATAGGTAATAATATATAATAATTCGCTACAAAAAATATATAAACAAAATGTTCTGTTGTCGTGAGATTTAATAAAATTCTAAAGATAGCGTTTATAAAATTGAATAAATATTTAAAGAAAAAGAAAAAGAAAATAAATACCTAGTTAAATGGTTTAACTAGGTATTTAACTAGGTGACTAATGAATGCCAGTCATTCCAAAAAATTCTGTATTGGAATTATGTGTTGTTAAGAAATACGTCGTAATGCCTAAAAAATTAAAATTGCTTTCTAATATTTGGTAATTTCACCAGATCACAGAAATTCACTAGGCATTGACCCCGAAAGCTTTCCGAGCTCTTGGTTATAAAAACTGTCTGCTGAAAAACAGTTAAAAATTCTGTAAATGTGTGTATTTACCTGGATCTCTTTATTGAATGAAATGGTGCATGGTATTCCAGAAATGATGGATAACGTTCATACCTATCGAACAACAGAGCCAATTTATGACTGAAAATTCAAATGAATGTTCGTCTAACCATAATTCGGCGATTACGTATTTCTGCAGGCATATTGTCTCGTTGATAAAGGCCAAACCTGTCAGAATAACCACATAATATGACTAGGTGAAACACGTGTAAAAGCTTATTAACATAATGTTCAAATGTCAGAGACCTTTGGACTCATTAATGCGGTTCTAATTCTTGTCAGAGAAACATATTTCATATAATTACTGAGTTACTGTCAGTCTGTGCAGTCTCTTTTTGACATTAATTCATTAGGTTTTATCCGCACGCGAACATTTCTATCTGAGCAAATCAGTTGGAAATGTGTATCATCACAACATACTACTCATATTCAGTCTTCCAATGATTAGTTATAAGGGGATATTGTACAGTCCTCATAATGCTGTTAATAGTGGTTCCAGCAATGAACTGCGATGTTATTTATTTCAGTGTTGCTTGCATATCGCTTGAGTCTGGACAGACGAAGCAAATCATGTCGTTGAGACTTTTTCGATTAACACACAATTTTTGTGAATTTGATGTTTTGCTGGAGTTTTTGTATTCGAAACAAACTTTTAAAATTGTCATACATGAATACACAAATACAGTTTGTATCTTCAAAATGATATAACTCATTTCTCTAACACTTGCCTCCACAGCACATTGAAATTAGCTTAAATCATCATATCTTGCAAAAAGTGAAACTTTAGTTATTTATTACGAACAGCTATACACATATTTACTTTGCTTTACTAATAGATTTCCTAATAGATAAATTCAGAAAATTTCACAACAGTTCACAATACGGCAAAGTACAGGCTTTTGTAAATTACTGACTACAGTAATATAATACGTAGTATCAGAAAGACTTACAGATATTGAAAACACTTGAGAATTTTAATTTTTTTACTATGCAGGTGAGGTTTTAAGTTACTTAAATTCATTACAAGTATAATGTTCACTACAAGACAGCCAATCTATTTTTACTACCACAACATTTTTTAATATGTAAATAATGAATGTCCGAATAAATAAAATATAAATCATAAGTATAATATATAGAAAAAAAAATAAAACTACAATTCTCTCTTCTCATTTTGCTTGAAGTGCAATCCTCTGTGCCATATCGTCAGATTATAATGGAGTTTTGCCTGCTATTGGTATTAGTTAGCAAACTTAAGCAGTTTTCTTATATATCAGAATTGTTCTGGCAATAGTGCATAATTAAAAATATTAAGAGTGGCGTGCTTAATGAGAAACAAAGTGAAATGTGCAGGTGCTAAGCAGAATAAAAGAAAATGCACGTTTTTGCTGATTGCAAAGGAAAGACGGCATATGAATAGTGGCACATTTAACTGTAGAGTCATTCAAGTAATTAAAATAACTCTTATTATAAGTATATGAAGCAGATATAATAACTTCTCACAATTATAAATTTGTTTTTTCTGTTACATTTCTTTGCAGTGCAATACAGATTTGTATTACGTATATCTTTTAAATCTAAAAAAAATCATTATTTTTAATTATTTACAGAAAATTCTTCTCGGTATGAGAACTTTTAGAAATGAAAATAACCTGTTTTATATGTTACAAAATTGTTGACACGTGTAAGAACTATAGATACAGACGTTCTAGTTGAAAGTAATATTTATACTTTCATAAGAACTGTTTTAATAAACTATATTTTTCAAAATATCAGATAATTGGTTGGTGTTTTAATAAAATATACGAAAAACAAAGATTTAATTTTACGATGGACACGCTTACAGTTGGCATCTTCTCTCCGGATATTCGTTTTCTTCAGTAGAATTTATAAAGAACTTTTTGAAGAGTTTAATAGTCGAGAGGAAATTCAATGGTTTAGCATCACTTGTAATTAAAATGTCAGAAACGAGGGAATGGGTCGTTCTAGAATAGTGAAAGTATAGTAATTCAGTTTTGACGATCGTGTTTTTCAAAGAATGAGCTTGCGATTAAGGTTTCGATAGAGATATTTTATCTTAAATGAAAAATTACTTATCGCTTGTAATTTTGTACATATTAAAGCAAAAAAATAAAAAAATATTATTACAGTAGGGATTGTTTTAGAAATGCTACACGGGTCCTAGTTATATGCAGTTTTTTCAGTACATGCAATTAATCATTTACAATTTTATTTCATGATATTATTTTGGTCTATAATATAGTTTGGTGCTTTATAAATATTAATATTTGTGAAAATTACATGTGTGTTACGTGTGCATTCATTTTTTCTCAAAAACTTTAAACTTAATAAGCGTTTTTGCATACAAAATTTCAAAAGTTAAACAAATAAATGACAGGATATATCCTGTAATTAACAATATTAAAGGGCTAATAAGATCCTCCATCGTGAGAGTGTGATATTGTGATGATGCCTGCACGTTCGCCATTACAGAGTGATCGATTTTCTCAACAATTCCAGCTTCAAACAGACGAGTTATTCTGTAAAATTAATTAAATTCTGTGTTTAATATTAACGATGCAGGTGATATGTAATTTAACAGATATTTAGAATAAACATTTAACTTACACAATGCTGACATTCTCCTTCATTGGAAACTTTTTTCTCATTGGATAAGCTTCAACAAATGTAAGAAGAGTATCGTCCGAAACTTTATATTTGTACATTTCTTTTTCTTCGATAAAAAACAATTTTAGAAATTTCAGAACGGCTATAAAGGCAAAACGCTTTTGAAGGACTAATTTTACAGCATCCTCATTATTTATTAAATTGTTATTTTCTATAATATGATCTCTGAATATTCTAGCATTTTCAGATTTAGAAACCTAAAAAAAATTATATCAACCTAATTATTGAAATTCATAACAGTAATGAATGTATTTTACCACTTTTACAAACTTTAATTGTATTCCATATGGCTGTCGCAGGTGCTATGCCGCAGGAATATTCTCCTCTTTGTACCGCTCTGGCCAATTCGTCAAAATTTCTTGGGACAGGCTCCATTATGGGATAAGTCATATAAGACATCAAGGTTCCGCTGTAACTTGATATTAAGACAAAAACCGATAGCAACCAGATTCCTATTAATAATCTGGATGGGAATCTTTTTATATAATTCAATTGAATACCTGTAATTCAGGTCATATATATGATGAAAATTACACGAAACTAGGCATATATGTAAGCGAATAATTGAAATTGCATAATTCAGTAACATACCTTGATAGACAAATGTACAAAACAGATACCAGAAAATTTTTCTTTTTGGCCAATATACTTTAATTTCGTCTGCGATGAAATCATGTTCAATCACTTTATGCAAAATTAATCCAAATCCGATTGAGACGAAGAATAACACGATCCAAATCTGTAATGATGTTAAAGACACAATTTTACGATATAAATATGAGAGACTTTTCTGTTAAAATAATTGAGTCTGCCTGTAATCTGTAATTTCCGCTGTAAAAACCCTTGGTCTGAGCTATAATTTTTAAACTTTTTGCCAAAACATAATATGAAAATTGAAATTTATAATTTAAGAACAACATTTCTGCAAACATTTGAAAGATATTAAATTTTCTTTGTTGTATCTGAAAATAATTTTTGTTTCCTCTCTCACCTTTGCTGTTAACGTGTTAACATTTTTTAATGTAAATAATAATTAAACCATGAGAAAATACCAGTTTAAAGTAAATTAAAAACCGAAAGAAACATTATATTTTACTATAATATCGACGTTTATTTATTTATGTAAAAGTTCTAATAAAATTCTATGAAAATACAGAGATATAACGAACATATAAAAATCTTATCAAAAATATGAAATTTTAATGCATTCAGTAATTTAGTAATACTTTCATTACGTATTACAAAATGTGGGTAAAAATGTATGTACTGACATTACTATTGATGTTATGTTACTTTTATACAAAGTATTCATTGTAATTTTTGCTTTATTATGGTATCGTATTTCCATACTCATATGTTTTGTTTGTGAAATTCGTTATTATCTTATAAAATTTATAGTTTAAGAATTACAATAACATGATAACTAGATTTATATTTTTACTCATATTATATGATTTCGTTTGGTTCTCCATAAGAAAACGCTTTTTCAACGCCCATTATGAGTTCATAGAGAACGAAATAGAGCAGGCAAGTGGTAAGAAATATGATCTCATACACTCGTATGAGAATGAATAGTGTCCAAAAAATAGTTTTAAAACATTTACTTTTCTAGTGGTGATTTTCGTTACCGTTGTTCTTCTTACTTCTGTTGATTCCTTAATAGAGAATTATGAATATCAAAAAAGTAGGAAAGAAATTTATTTAAGAAAATTTGTTTAATAAAAATTAGTAAACACAGTTATTGATAAACTAAATTTAAAGAAAACAAATGCTTTAGATGTATGAAAGTCGAAATTCTCATGAGTGGTAGATCAATAGCATTGAATAAAGGAACGTCTGCCGTATATACGTTGACTGCTTATACAAAGAATGTTTTGCCTAAATGATTGAAAAAAATTAAAGATGTCTACATAAGTAATAAAGGTGGATAAAATGTATAATATTTCTGTACATTTCTAATATTTTTGAAAAAATAATGAAGGTTACAAGACAATTTAGTATAGAATATTTTTTGGAAACTATGCACGTAATGAAAAAAACATAGCAGTGTATATTCTACATGTTCATAAGTTACGATGGATCTGATATCTTATAACTTCTACAAAATTCTAAATGTGAAAAGTATTGGAAAAGTAACATCTTAAGAAACAAATAGTTGATGCAAACATTTTTTCGGTTCTTTGTCCTTTCATTGTATTTTTCTGTATTGCTGAAAATGTAAATTCACAATAATCTTTACAGTGTAGACTGGTAAAAACGTAAGGTGCCACAAAATATATCATATTTGGGTTCTGGTGTATGGAAATAGTTAAAAACACAGCACTAACCTCCCAGCCATCAGCCGTGCTTTATAATTAAGAGAATAATTGTTAAATTATTATTTACATACCTGAATAGAAAAAGGTTTAATAATAGAACTCCAATTCGGAAATTTGTCCGGAGCCTTTACTATAAAGGAAACTGATGGGCACATTAACGGGGAAGAAAAATCCATCACAGAAAAGCGATCATATGTCATAAATAAAGAAATATAAGCCATGTCTGCTTCCTGTTTATAAAAAAATATATAAATTATGTATAATAAAATTCGATAAACCATATTTGAATTTCTAGTATGTAAAATAAATAACTATTTATCAATGCATAATAACAGATTTAATTTTAAATTTTTTTAAGGCCTCTTCCTGCTCTGAGAGCACTAAGAGACCTAAGAACTAACAATGAGAAATGTAAAATGTATTATAATGTGTAATGTGAAGAAGGAGCGTAACGAATACATACTATTTAAGGGAGTGCTGCCTGCAGAGCAAGGGTGCTGTAAAGGTGTTAAGAGAAACCTGCCAACATTGTTGGGTGATGATTGGTATAGGAAAAAACAGTTCAATGAGAATAGCAGAGAAATAATATACCTCTGCAGAAACAATTTACTAGTCTTATGCTAATGTATTTAGGATATAAGAACACCAGCCAGAAGAGGGCGCAAAATACATTTTTAATTACCCCAAATAAAAGGTTCTTTGAAGCGAATTCGAAGAGAATTAATGCCTTAAACAGCAAAACGAATATATATATGCCGTCTGCTGTCAAAAAAATCAAAAGATTAGGAATTGGGCTAGAAACAAAACATATTTAATCACCAGAGAGGAGTGTACAGTGTTTGGTGGTACAGACATGAGTGCAAGTAAGCAGGAAAAATTTGGTTATTAAATGCAAAAATGTTTCTAAGTACTGGTGCCTGGATAAAAACCAACCAATGTGACCTATCTAAAATTACTTAATAATTAATGCCTACCTTAGGAACTAGGTTAGTTTTTTAATAGATGGCACTACAATCATGCTGGACACACATAAATATAACTTATTTTTCAGGGGAGGTATGGGTGGGGTGGCTCGTGGGACTTAAAGTCCCAGAATCCTGATTATTTCTATCAGGTTGCTGGAGGAAGTCAATGTGGAGAACTTTACAAAAGTAAACTCCATGCACTAGAACTTTAGAACGATGAATGAAATTGGATTTTAAAAAATCTCATTAAAAAACAATTAAGCGTTAATAGTGCATCATTAAAGGTAGATTAAAATCGCGATAAAATTTTTTCGCATGGGAAAATATTTTGGAAACTTAAAAAAAATCCAAAAATAAAAAAAAAACATTTATGAGGTCCAAAACACCGTTTGTTATGTAACGCTATGTAACTTGCCCGAGTTGTCTCGGAATAAGATTATTAAATCTCTACCTATTCTTCGTCGATTACTTTGGTATTTTGCAAAACTATTTCTTTAAAAACATTATCACAATCCGTTTATCTTGCCAATATTCTAGACTCCACTGTTGTCTGCTAATATCGGCAATATCAGCCTCATCTCATTTTAAATTTAAAACAATTAGATAAAATGTTTTTTATTTTAAATAAAGTCTTTAACCTTTCTTTTAATTGTAATGCTAATGTTACCAGTTTTAATAATGTTAAAACTGGCAACATTATTACAAGTAATAATAATACAGTTTTAACATTATTAAAATTGACAACATATTAATAATGTAATAATGTTCCGTTGTAATATTGTTTACAGTTTTAATGAACGTATAAAATACTTTAAGAGTTTATTTTTTACAAATACATTCATCCATGGTTTCATTCATTATGATTGCCAATACCTAAGAGTTGATCATGCGTTAGTAATAACAAATCTTGATTGTACCCCATCATTTAGGCTTTTAATTTCTTTCAGCTTTTTTCTATCGGTTTATTCAGAATATCCATTGTTACAACTTTTACCTGAAGATATTTTACATTTTAAATACATTATTAAACAGTTACTGCATAATATATAATCGTTTGTTTTTATTTATATATATTTTTATTCTTTGTTATTTGTATTTTAATATTAAGGTGTACATTATTTCCGAGAGATCATATCAATTGTATTATGGCATTTTCTTTCGTATACGAAATTATTCAATAAAATTTCCGAGAAGTTAACGATATATATACAAGAGAAAGGTAAATTTAATTTGACAGCTTATATACTGATAATAAAACTACAAAATGGAAACTCAATGTTTCTCACAGATATGCCATTTATACTGCTTATAGGCAGTCTTTACACACAATTATTAAAATCGCACTCGCGCTAATTGAAACACTTCTCTTGAAGGAATGGTCGTATTACTGAGTGTGAACTGTCTATTCAAAAAATGTTTTCAAAAATTTCTTAAATTGCTTAATATATAATGCTTATTCTGAGCGTTGATAATTTAATTATATTTGTCTTACCTTCTTTTCAAGTTTTACTCCCATTTCATTCCATGTATCGTCAACTGGTTTCGCTAAAATGTACCTAAGTAAATGGCATTTAGTCTGTGTAATTCTACTTACTTTGATTAAGTTGAAATATATATTAATAAGAATGATAAATAAATTATACATTTAAACTATATATATTGAAAAATTATTTTTTAACATGGTAATTTAATTTTTTGAAGTAGAGCTTATTTCAATTTAGGCATTTGAAGTTGATTGAAGCATTTCAGTTTGGATAAATTCATATAAAATATTAAGAAAAATCAGAAGACATATTGTAGGAAAGGAACATGTCGTAATGTACTGAACTTCATTCTGAACATTCTAACAACTAAAAACTTCATTATTTTTCGCTATGACATATGTCTATTCCATAGAACTGATGTCTTACCTGTTTGTCTATAAAAAATACAACTGAGAAAATTTCAGTGTCTCACTACCTTACTAGTAAAAGTCTGTTGTTTACAGTTATCACAGTTTTATAGCTCAACCTAAGAAATACTAGTAAGTTAAAGTTAACTACCTGAATCCCAATTTTTGATGAACTGCGTTGAACACATGAAAATACTGTCCACTTGTGATTTGATTCTCAAATTCGTCCGTTCTCATGTACGCTGGATTCTAAAACAAAAAATACAGTAGCATAAACAACGAATTTCTGTTAAAATCAAATCATCCATATGTTTTCAGGAAGTATTTTCTTGGGAATCTTAAACATTAAATTGGGTTTGAATAAAAATAATTTGAATTAAAATACTGAATATTGTATTATTATACAAACATCTAATATTACGTATAGAGATTTTTCATCGAATTAACATTAAATAAGTAATAACCAACTAAACCGAGTCTAATTTTTAATAATTACTAAAAATAATACGTTTAAATTAAAGATATAATTCGATATATGAAAACATTGTAACAAAGTGTACAAATACTTATGTGAAGATTATGGAATTTTCGCTTATATTCATGACCTGGTTATGTCAAACATTTAATGTTCTACATAACCAGAAAAAGAAATGTTGTAAATTTTGTTCAGTTACTTTTATATAATTTTTACTGTGTAAAAAAACATGTAATGACCCAACAAAAACTAGTCATACTCTACATATCTGCAGTTATTACTGACAGCCAATGGTTTGGCAACAACAAAGCTATACTTACTTTGTTTATTTTTAATTGGTTTGTCCGTTCATAAGGTAACATTATTCTCATATTTTTCAAAAAAGATTCTGTCCATCAGTAATGCTACATAATATTGCTGTACATACCTACCCTATACGGGTGTAACACATCTTCAATCATTATCCTTACTTTTATAGCAATAATGCACAGCACTTAATGTTAGACGACATTAATATAAATAACCTAATCTTACTTAACATGTTTGTATACACTCCATTACCTTCCATTGCCTTGATTTTCTTCATATCTGCCCAACCTTATAAATATTAGTAAAAAATATTCTTCGTATTTTAAACTAAACGTTTAAACTAAGCAAAGGGTTTTTTGGGTATTTCACTTGACAGATCACTTCTTTATTCCTAGGTAAAAGTTTGCATTTTTTGCTGTATCTGTCCAAGACGTTTATATACATTACATTATCATTTTACATTACGTTTTTACATTATCTGTCTCCCTCTTTTTGTAGTAATGCCCATCCTATCAGTTGTTAAATACTCTGTTTCGAGTTAGCAGTAGCTATTTTACAAAATTATCTAGAGTAATTTATGAAGAGTTGAAGGAAAACATTAGCTGAAAAAATGGTTTCCTAAATGACAAAATTTTGAACGGCTGGAAAAAATGTTTCAAAGCTATTTTCGGTTTACATGAATTATAGGGTAACAACTATTAACATGACGATTTTACGATAAGATATGTATTTTTTTTTTAAAAAATATAATAGTAAGTGAGATTTATTAGAACCTGAATATTTTATCATACACCTTTAGATGTCATATATCGGTTTTAGATTTGTTATAATAACCAATCTATTATTAAGTTAATGTAAGATCTGTATTAATTAATTACAGTGGTGCGTCGATTATCCGAATCAATTGGGGACTGGGGTTGTTCGGAATATCGATGTTTCGGACCACCGATTACGTACGAAAAAATATATTAATTTATTTCATCTTGACACTTTTTCCGTTGCGTGTCGCTTCGCGTTGAATTTTCGTCGATGTTAAGCCTAACGAAGACTATTGTATCGTTAAAAATTATTTTTTTATTTTATACGAACAAAATAAATATATTGGAAAATATAAAAACAATAAAAAATTATACTTCAGAAGTTAATTTAGTATGAAAAACGTAAAATATTTTAATAGCCCAACACATAGCCAAAGATTGCAGCGCCACAGCACTGGCAAAAATTTAAATTTGCAGACTGGAATTCTTTCGGATGATTGACTTTCGGATAATCGACGCTCTACTGTATTTTATACGAATTTTTAAATAAAATAATGCAAATTAAAATTTTTATGAAGTTTTCCCACTTTTTTTTCATGTGTAACAGTGATCGCAATGTAAAACCCAATACCTTATAAACTTCTCTGGAATTTTCCCACTTGAAAAACAATACCTAATTCTAAGGAGGAAGTCATGCGATACGTAAAAACCTGTAATGCGTGTTTTAAAAGCTCATATATTCTTTAAATATGTGAATAGAAATAAAGTTATGTTAATAATTGAAAATGTATGTAACATAATTACGTGTACTTGCGTTTGCAAGAGTTCACGACATTCAGAATGTGAAAAAAGTCAATAACATTTTTTTCATTTTAAATATATTTATATACAGGATTGGAAATTTTCGTAATTACAATGTAATCGATGGACCAGGCAATAAAGCATTTCCCACTGCTCTGAGGAATACGAGTAAATAAAACTATCGAATACCGGTCGTGGGTTCGTGCTTCACTAACGTGGAGTTTTCCATGTTTTCTTCTCTCGNGCTACTCAAATATTTTACGTTTTTGATACTAAATTAATATCTGAAGTATAATTTTTTATTATTTTTATATTTTTCAAAATATTTATTTTGTTTGTACAAAATAAAAAAATAATTTTTAACGATACAATAGTCTTTTTAGGCTTAACATCGACGAAAATTCAACGCGATGCGACACGCAACGGAGAAAAATTTCGACATCGGATACGTTAAACTATTTTTTCGTACGTAAATCAGTTATCCGGACAACCCCAGTCCCCAATTGATTCGGAAAATCGACGCTCTACTGTATTTAGAATAGAATAATTTAACAACAACAAAACGAACAGAGTTATACTAATAACTAGTTAACAAAAATAATTATTATTAAATGTAATCGAGTTTATATGAAAATAAACTCACAATTGTTACACTAAAAGTTCATGAACAAAAATGGATCTTAAGTATAACGATAAATGAAGATTTGCAGAGGCACAAATTTACTGAGTATTTCTTCAGTCCATCATTGCATATATGATTAGCAGTAGAAAATTTGTATTTGCAAAGTATATTTTCTATTAGAGTTCATTTGTCACAATCACAATTGGATGAACAATATAATAGTTTGCAATAATTCTGCCAATAATACAATGAAAAGTTTCAGTTCTTATATCCCGTACTTGTTCATCAAGAAGACACATTACAACAACCAATGGACAGAGACATTTTCTTTGGCTATGGCAGAACTCAGTCAGCAACACGATCCAAACTCGAATTTTTTGCTCTCACGTCCACCTTATATAGTCATCGGCAACCATTGGCGTTTTTGCCAATGGTCTCTTTCTTGATATGCATTAGCCACCAATTCAAGTTTAATTGATCGCAGAAATAATTATTTTATATAAAAAATAAATTTTTTGTAGATTTCTTATAGGCATTTGAAGCAAAGCAAATGTATCGAAAGAGTTAAATTTATAATAAAATATAGAAATAATAATGTGATCACGTATAGAGTATATAGAGTAGTATGTTTATCAAATGATATAAATAATACATATGTATAAAGAGATGTGCAGTTCATATTAAAATGAAAACGTTGAATGTGTACTGTACATGATAATGTTAATCTACTGATAGCACTAATACAGGGTCAATGCCTTATTCTGCATTTGTCAGTGATTAGGATATCGTTTTGGGTTTGCAACCTTAGTTATGTTTTATACCCACGATTATGTGAAAAAATGTTTCAAAAATCAAAATGGAATTGACTGCGTAAATATAAAAACTTTATACTACAATATAAGTAATACAGATTGTTTATACCTTAAGTCCAGCTATCTTCCAAATGTAAGATTTCTTTTCTTTCTCTGATAAAAAAAACAAAGATATTAATTTATGTATATATAAAATCCAAAAATACGTATACATTATTAAATAAACAATAAAGTTTATTTCCCAAATAAGGTGTACGTTTTAACACGTTTTATATTTTTACTATTAGAGAAAAAAAGTTTGAAAGTTAAACTGAAATATGCTGTGAGACATGTTCATGCAATAATGTGACTTTGAAGTTAGCATCATTGAAAAAAGTTTTCTGTAATAATTCATTTTGCAAAAGATATGTAATGGGCCTTAATTAAAACAGGATTTTCAAATAAAGTAAATTAGTAGTCTCAAATAATAACTCTATGTTAAAAAAATAAACTAAAGTAAAAAGTAAGAGCTACTTACAGAAGCTCTTACTTTTAAACTTTAGTGTAATTAAATTACAGTAAAGTTTAAAAAATACAACAGATTCACAATTGGCAATAGTTCAATACGCCAATAATACATTCAATCAATCAATCAATCAATCGTTACTTTATTAGTACAAATTTGTACATACCTCGCCCTCCTTTTATAGCATTACCAGGTGAAATTATATACAGCATACAATTACAATTATTTCAATTATTACAATTAATTAATTGAGTATATTAAGAAGTATGATAATTAAAGTTACTTAAAGCAAATAGTTTGTTTTAGAATACAGTAGATTTTCCGAAAGTCAATCATCCGAAACGTCAATTATCCGAAATAATTCCAGTCGAAAAATTTAATTTTCGCCAGTGCTGTGGCGCTTCAATCTTTGGCTATGTCTTGGGCTACTCAAATATTTTACGTTTTTGATACTAAATTAACATCTGAAGTATAATTTTTTATTATTTTTATATTTTTCAAAATATTTATTTTGTTTGTACAAAATAAAAAAATAATTTTTAACGATACAATAGTCTTTTTAGGCTTAACATCGACGAAAATTCAACGCGATGCGACACGCAACGGAGAAAAATTTCGACATCGGATACGTTAAACTATTTTTTCGTACGTAAATCAGTTATCCGGACAACCCCAGTCCCCAATTGATTCGGAAAATCGACGCTCTACTGTATTTAGAATAGAATAATTTAACAACAACAAAACGAACAGAGTTATACTAATAACTAGTTAACAAAAATAATTATTATTAAATGTAATCGAGTTTATATGAAAATAAACTCACAATTGTTACACTAAAAGTTCATGAACAAAAATGGATCTTAAGTATAACGATAAATGAAGATTTGCAGAGGCACAAATTTACTGAGTATTTCTTCAGTCCATCATTGCATATATGATTAGCAGTAGAAAATTTGTATTTGCAAAGTATATTTTCTATTAGAGTTCATTTGTCACAATCACAATTGGATGAACAATATAATAGTTTGCAATAATTCTGCCAATAATACAATGAAAAGTTTCAGTTCTTATATCCCGTACTTGTTCATCAAGAAGACACATTACAACAACCAATGGACAGAGACATTTTCTTTGGCTATGGCAGAACTCAGTCAGCAACACGATCCAAACTCGAATTTTTTGCTCTCACGTCCACCTTATATAGTCATCGGCAACCATTGGCGTTTTTGCCAATGGTCTCTTTCTTGATATGCATTAGCCACCAATTCAAGTTTAATTGATCATGTTCCTCAATGATCTCTTCCTGGCAGCTTTTGTTACTAGTTCAAATTGAGCAATCATCTTTTATACATGATATCATCTCCCCAACCGAAGATCAAACTGATCTCATTTGCACATGTTTGATACACAATGTCTTATAGACACAATCCTAGAGTAATTTGTCAGATACCTGCAAAGTGACCCAACTTCCTTTCAGAACACCTTGGAAGATAATCCCCATTTACACAGAGCCGCTACATCTCCTTTCGCTCATGTACTACCCCTTGTTCTGCAAGACTGGGCTTTGCCAAACCTCTTACAAGGAAAATGCCCACAATGTCATCTGCTCTTCCTTCTTCCCTTCCTACAGTAGTAGTTTAGCTTGGATATACTATGTCATATAAATTTGTGAGAATACAGACAAGGGTGAAGGCCCTCTAATCGTCAGATCTGTTGGACCTGCTCACTTTGTCACTAGATGGCTTATTCTGTCAGAACCCGAGTGGCAAGATTCTGTGTGGGGTTGTGCATAAGAAATAAATACTCAACTATGAACGTCATTAAAATAAAAATCAACAATTTAATCACAGGAGAACAAATAAACAACAAAACATAAAACATATGTCTACTCTATGACTATAATCAGTATGAGAGAGAGAGAGCTTACAATAAATCATATTACCGTTGTTCAGTAGTAAGGCAGTAGCATATTCACTCTGTGGCCTGATGAGTAGGCTGAACGAATCGATATGGCATAATGTCTCGGTCCTATGGCATGTTCCTTCTCTTCAAGAACTGCCTTTACATGGCAGTTCTATCTGGGATGAACTGCCTCGATTCTATCCAACCCCACCTTTTATCACCGACTATTTAACAATAATGATTCCCAGAGATGGATCATCTGATGGGATAAATCGCTGTGTCATTCAGACCGGAGTTGTGAATATTCTAAGATAGGAGATGTAAAAAAAGGAAGCAAAACATCCTCAATTCTTGCTAAATGTTTCGTTATAGAGTCTTTTTGCAGGATGTTAAAGTTTATAACTTTTTTAGGTTATATTAATTTTATTCCAAATTTTTGTTATTAAGTTAAGAGATAATTAAGTTAAATTATTTATTAAAATATGTAACACAGATTGGGAGTTTATCCAGGTTATCACAAATTTAATTTGTGTAGGAATTTAATGTAAAGTTCTCATACAAATTGGATTATAATAAATAAAGACAGTTATGATATACATTACAATTAAAAATTGCATCCTCTACTGTACACTCTTGTATACAAATTTAATATGTGATACAAATTGGAGTATAAAAATTAACAGTGATACAATAAAGGTTAAAACATAAAAATTAAATNACTGGAATTCTTTCGGATGATTGACTTTCGGATAATCGACGCTTTACTGTAATTAATTAATCCGCCCATAATCCGAGTTAACTCGGGCTGCGCAGTCTATATCTCAAGTTATCTTGAACGTAAACTTTCAAGGTTCATTAACGAAAGCCTTAACTTTTAACTTTCCCAAAAATGTATTGATTGGAATATATACATCGTTATCTATGATGTGTGCAAATTTCATAAATTATTTTTGCAGCAAAAATATTTTATGACAATTTATTAATTAAGCAATTAATAAATTTCGCGCTATTGATTTTTATGAGAGTTTTTTTAATCAAATGAATTAAATCGTTTTAAACTTCTATTTCACGGATTTGACTTCGGTAAAACATTTTAAAAACGCTATTGGATGTTTTTTATGACACCATCAGGCATTTTTGTTTTTTGTTCAGTAGAATTTTTTTCCCATGCCTTTTTTTGGTCCCTTCATAATTTAAAAGCATTAAATCGACAATATTGTGTTATATTTGAACAGATGTGGTTAGTTAGCTTTTCTCCTGCTTTAAACTAACATTTCCCTGAAGTGCACATGAGAACTACCCAAGAAAGCTGATACCAGCTGTTCTCAAGGTCAACCAGTTTGTAAGCAATCTAGACTGTATGTGTGAAATTTCATGCCTTGTTAAACGAAAGAATAACAATCCTTACAGCTACATTTTTCAAATAAAAGCATTTATTTTAAATTAGTTTTTGTCTTTATATACTGTTTTTTANTATGTAACTCAGATTGGGAGTTTATCCAGGTTATCACAAATTTAATTTGTGTAGGAATTTAATGTAAAGTTCTCATACAAATTGGATTATAATAAATAAAGACAGTTATGATATACATTACAATTAAAAATTGCATCCTCTACTGTACACTCTTGTATACAAATTTAATATGTGATACAAATTGGAGTATAAAAATTAACAGTGATACAATAAAGGTTAAAACATAAAAATTAAATAAGTTTTGAAAATTCCACCCCCTACTGTACAGTTTGTACCATGAACTACATCATTTGGATCCCACATCATGTTCTTTGTACATCTTAATGGATAAACACGTGCTGCATTCATCGTCAACAACATTAGAAATATGTGAGTTATCGCAACATATTTTTTATCTGTAGATAATATACAAGTGGATGTTAAAGTTTTTTAAGTCTCCAAATTTTTTTAAAATTTTTTTCCCTCATGAAAAAAGTTTTCGCGAGTTTAATTTACCTTTAATGACTCACGATTCACGCTTTATTGCTTTTTAATTATTTTTTAATGGCAGTTTGATATCAAATTTCATTCATCGTTCTAAAGTTGTAGTGCATGGATTTTCCTTCCGTAAAGTTATTTAAAGCTAGTTTCTGATGTCAAAAACGACCTCCGATAGTTTTTAAATTTTTTTAATTAATAAATTTCGTTATAGGCCTATATAAGTTTAATTAAGTCGGAGGTCGGAAATAGCAATAAAAATTTTAATTTTTCAAAAATATTTAAAAATATACAGCCAACTAGTATTCACCCTACTATAAACCCATCACCTCCCGAGACTTCTATGAGAATGCCCTAGGACAGCGCTGTCCAACTGGCGGCTCGCGGGTCGTATACGGCCCGCCAAATAATTTTTACGGCCCGCGAGTACATTTTACTATGAATAAATTTATGTTACTAAATTATTATTATTAATATTACAATTATTTTACTACCGTGTTTCCCCGAAAATAAGAGTGTCTTATATTAATTTTTGCTCTGAAAAATGCGCTAGGTCTTATTTTCAGGGAATGTCTTATTTTTTCCAGGAAGAAGAATTCACATTTATTATTGAACAAAAAAATTCCCAAGTCGAACTTAGAAGAGAGTGACGTATATCCGGTGTGTCGAACTGTCGTCTTTTTATAGCGTCAACACCGGACTCGCTGACCAATTAGTGCTTACTGAACCATAGCACTATGCAAATGTCATGTGGTTTATCAACCTTCTTGGCCCCCGAA